ATGTTATAATATATGTTTTAGTGTTTTTATGTTATTAAAAGTTATAGTGTTTATTTTTCATATTTTTTATTATTCGTTATATATATATCTTTTTTAATACAAATGTTATAATAGATGTTTTTTTATTTTTATGTTACTAAAAGTTGCAGTTCATATTTTTGTTCATACGTTTCGTTACCTGTTATATTAGCATTCATTTGATATATAATTTACACAATTTTAAACGGTTTATAAAATTATCAAATAATTGTATATATCACAATGACTTAAAAATTAAACTATAATGTTTAATAAAAACTAATATGTTAACTATATGTTTGCTTTACTACTAACATTTTGTTTCAAAGTAGAAATATTAAAAAATAATTTGGTAAAAGTTATTATTTTAACTATATAATTCTATTCTCGCCAACGCGCGGGGATTCGCCTAGTATTGTAGATAAATTGCATTAATAAGAAAAGGGAAGTACATTGTCGTTATTCTAATCTTGAAAACAACACAAAGGCTGAACATTTATTCTGTACTTGAAAAACAGCAAAAAGGTGAACTTTTACTCTGAACTTGAAAAACAACATAAAGGTTGAACTATCATCATCATCATCATTGGATTCATAGAATTAGGAAAGATATAGATCTGTTAACTTATAAGATAAGATCCAAGAATTGCAATTACTTGAAAGTTGATCTTAATTTTTGAATTGATATCATGAAATAAGCCCAAGTGTAGACAAACAGAAAAACATGCATGTGCTTGCTTAATCCAGTTGTGTACACTGACCAACGGTTTTACAGATTTAATTAGTTTTTGGCTTTCGCACACCCTTCTTGATATAACCTAGAACACTTTGTTCACAAAATACCCTTCATAACTTTTTTTTAATAATAATTAATGATGTTTTGTAAAAAAAATAATAAATAAAAAATATTTTGTGTAAAACGGTCATTGGAGATTTCCAGGTGGAAAGGAGATGCAAGGGTATGCATACATCTTGACTCATCCTGGAACACCATTAGTTTTCTATGATCATATTTTCTCTCACTACAACTCCCAAATATCTACACTCATCTCTATCAGGAATCCCAACAAAATTCATTGTCGTAGCATGGTTAGTATCATAATATTTGTTTCTTGTTAGATTAGATGTAGGTGTTGTTTGGGATGACTGGAATGGAATGGTTGATTCCATTGGAATGAATAAAAAAACTGTTTGTTTTTGTTTTGTTATGCCTGGTGGAATGGAATGAAAGTTTGTAGTATTTGTGATGTAGGTTGAAATTAGCAAGGCAGAAGGAGATGTTTATGCAGCAATTATTGATGAAAAAATAGCAATGAAGATTGGACCAGGCCACTTTGAACCACAATAATCTGGGCCCCACCAATGGTGTTTGGCTGCTGAGGGCAATGATTACAAGGTCTGGGAAGCATTATAAACTCATGGTTATTAATATGTAAACACATGTTTTTGCTAAAGTATATATGACATATGTGACAAAAATATAAATTAAGGAGATTCTGGGTATAAGACGCTAGTGTTATTACAAGAAAGGAGAATATGTATTTATACATTTCTATATACTAATAATTGTGGTTACTTACCTAATGGTCAACACAGGTTCTAGATTTATAGCATGTCCATTCCATTAAACATTTTAAAGTTTAATGAATAATTAATCATATCAATATCTAAAATATTATTATTTATTTATTTTGTATTTCTATATCATTTCATAAATATTTAAATACTATGATACCAAATAAATACGATAATTAGTATACTCTCATACTAAAAAATACATTCTGAATGAATGGCATTCTTTCTTCTCTAATCCAAAGGAAAATTATGTTACAGGTTCAAGAGTTACTTATCTTAATAGACTAGATGATCATACTATGGAATACAGGTGTATATATGAGAAGGTGATTCAACTTGATTCAATGTGATTGTCAAACTCAGTTAAACATAGAAAACGAAGTTGATAGTCACTCAACCGATTGGCTTATCAGATCATGCGATTATGGAGTACCTGTTCGACTTCAAGTTTGACTTCGAATGGAGAACAGAGGTGTGTCAATGGGAGGGTGTGGAGGACGATGGACCGACGAAGATGGAACGTCGACCTAGAAAACGAATTTTATAGTTACTCAATCGATTAACTTATCTGATCATGCGAGTATGGAGTACCTGTTTGACTTCGAGTTTGACTTCGAGTGGAGAATAGAGGTGTGTCAATGGGATCTGAGGGTGTGGAGCGACGATGGACCGGCGGCGATGGACCGACGACGATGGTCCGGGGACAATGGGTCGGGGTGATGTTGTCAAACTGGAGATTGTTGGTGTATCGATTTAGGGCAAAAGAGATGTGTTGAATCAATTTAGGGCATAATACTCTTTATCGTCCTTGTTTATCCTCCTTACTAAACCAATTAATAGTGTTTACAAAAAATTATCCGTATAATTAATTTGGTCAAAATTAGTCGTCAGTAGTCAAAATTAGTCAAGTCTCCTTATTTAGTCAAATTATAAATACATGCGAGTATGGAGTACCTGTTTGACTTCGAGTTTGACTTCGAGTGGAGAATAGAGGTGCGTCAATGGGATCTGAGGGTGTGGAGCGACGATGGACCTGCGGCGATGGACCGACAACGATGGTCCGGGGACAATGGGCCGAAGTGATGCTGTCAAACTGGAGATTGTTGGTGTATCGATTTAGGGCAAAAGAGATGTGTTGAATCAATTTAGGGCATAATACTCTTTATCGGCCTTGTTTATCCTCCTTACTAAACCAATTAATAGTGTTTACAAAAAATTATCCGTATAATTAATTTGGTCAAAA